TGTGTGTGTGTGTGTGTGTGTGTGTGTGTGTGTGTGTGTGTGTGTGATTATGTTCGTGGGCGCGCGCGTGTGCGCGAACTCTTGTACATATGTGGCTGTGTGATGATGTATATAAGTATATAGCATGAGCCGGACTAAACTCAATACAATACTCGTAGAAGGTGTTCGGTTTCCTCATAACTCTACATGCACTGAGCTATAAGGAAACCGAGCTAGAGCTGACGACACATAAAACATCACGATAAGAATGTGACGACAAATAATCGCAACTTCGTGCAAACGACAAGGCGACTGCCGTGAACGATAACTTGTCATCACGATGGAGTGGGAACAGGCTAGATGCGACAGTCATCCAATGATAAATGAAATACGACATAATGGGAACGCGCCCTTGAGATTCTACGCACGCCATTGGTCGATGACTGTTTCATGCTTCAATAGGAGAGATACATACTCACATATATTATTTGTAATTCGTGTTATATATTTCGTATTATTTTTATGACTTTCATGTGATAAAAGAATTTTGACGTTTGTGTAGCGATAATACCAATGGAACGAATTGTTCTATCCATCATATCCATCTTGGAAACTGATATGACTTCAGTGCCGAGCTGCAAACATGCGACTTAATTCATTTGATTGAACCTACTTTGTCTTCTGTCTTCTCAAAAGAAATAATTCGCAGTCATTAAAGAAATTTAATGACTGCGAATGTTTGCTTTTTAATGTACAGTAGACTAAATCACAAGTGATTTTAAGCGACAACGATGCTACGCGTTTGTCTAGCAAATGCCTATTACAAATCGAGTAACAGCTGGTTCCCAAATAAAACCACTACACTAGCAGCATAAAATTTAAAATTTTAGGTTTAGTGAATAAAAAATAACTTTACACAGACAGCCCTCAAACTTTAACTTACTAGTTATTACTTAAGACAGATAGAAATACTTGGTTTATGTACACTCCGCATATTGGCCTGGTGCAGCAAGCGAACAGCTAGCTACAGGTGAAGACTGAAAATCAGCAATGCTGAGTCTTTAACCTTTTTGTCCCCATCACTCAATTGTATATTCTTAAGTATTGTGATTCCTACGTTTTGTGGAGAAATAAATATCTTTTCATTTATTTATTTATTTACTCTAGCCTTGAATGGCCCTACATTTTAGGATTCATAAAGCACAAATAGCGGCAGTGTATTCCATTTCTTTGCTGTACTCATCAGGATGGGTGAAGCTTAGCGCTTCGTGTGAATGGATGGTATGTCAATGACATATTACACAATTGCAAATGCTGACACGTAATCAACTATATCTATGTATGTTTATAACATTGCCTATTTTACGTATATTGTTGTATACTTTTGGAAACCTGTATAAGTACTTAAAACAAACAACTTTTGTTATGAAGCTTTTTTGGATTCATACAAATTTTTTCAAATTATACCTACGCATGCGTTAATAAAAGAGAATAGTAAGCAGAATTTCTTTATTTCAGGCATCAAAACCTAATAGCATTTTCACCTAGGGTAGACTAGCCATAAGATACTTCTTCTTCATATCGTATCGGTAGCATATACTATAATGCTTGCCATCGTAGTGTAAGTATTTGCGAATCGACGTATGGTATTCACCGATTGTTGCCCATCGTACGGATGCGCCTGTTGTGCACCCCAAAGATAACACTAACACAGGTTTCGTTTGCCCAATCCGGTACAATAGGATAAACAATGAAATCTTTTCAGGATGCTATATTGGGTAGAGATTTTTAATAAGAGGTTTCTGGTTGCTTCTTTTTATACAGCCCCGGACTAGGGAAACCCTGTTTCACGGGTGCCATAGACACGCACATGGTCAACCACAAATTACACCCAAAGTCACGAGTGAAATAAATGTAGGCCATACAAATATTTCTCCCGGTCCGGGAATTCAGCACGGTAATCGACCACGGAGGCAGTTTTGTACTTTCAAGAGGCACTTTGATATAACCCTATAGGGAATTGTACTTTTTATTTAGAAATCCAAAATATCAGTACTTATTAGGCTGTTGTAAGTTTACCACAAGCATTATTTTATCACAACTATGTCAAGGTTGAATAGTTACAGTACATGGTGTAATTTAAATCCAGGTATTGGTTTACATCCGTAGTGAAACCATAATAGGATTCTACTTGATACGGTTACAAAGTAGAGCAAAGCGTAAAGGCACCTCACAGCCTACGTTTGCAAGCTTTATTCAACGGATTGATTGTGTACCTTGTAAATCCAAATTCAAATATACCGCATCTCTATGAGCCAATTTCTGCTAAAGAGTACAAATTGACTAAAAAAATTCTGTATGAGATTGCGTAGTGGTATTATTTCGTGTTGGTACGTTTTGTATTTACGTGATTACACGATGTTACAAATTTGTACATTTAATTCGGCGAATATTAACACAAGTCAAATATTCGCTGACAAATAACCTCTAAACTACGTTCTATTCCAACTTACACTGACACGATGGAGAGCTCATCAAAACAGTAAAACAAAATTATTTTAAAAAGTAAAATGAAGCTCTTCTTCGACATGGGTGAACTTCATAACGTACAGCGAATATCAACACCATTTGAATGTTCACTAACGAATGTTACACCAAACTGCGTTCGATTCGAATATAAGAGAAGGTAATTTTTTAAATGGCGAAACACGATCTGCTCAAGTACTGTTGGGGATTTTTCACTTCATTAGTAAGCGTAGGTTTTTTTTATATAAACGTGTATCATGTTCCTTTCGGATTTCCGAGTATTATATACCTTTATCGAAATCGTAATGTGAAACGATAGTGACGGTTTGTTTACTGATTGATTCGTTTAAGAAGCTTTTGAACAGCTGTAAACTGCTGATAAACTACATACTATTTTAACTCAATCGAAAGTGAAAAACACAGAAACGTAAACATTTTAGACATTTGTATATCGAGTGAAACCCTTTTAATAAAACGACATTTTTTTTTTCAAATAAAATTTTGTTTCGATTATCGAAGAAGTTCGTAGGGCAAAAAGTCTTTTTTTATGATACTAAATGACAGAACGAACAAGTCCTAGGAGCATTAGAGCTCCTTAGAGTGCCGGGAAGCACTGCTACCTTACCTATTTCTGTCTCCAAATAGTAAAATCAGCATTATTGTGTTCCAGCACATGGGACTTTATTTATTTATTTTATTTTAAGGATAAGGTACATACATCAACAATTGTATATATACTCTTATATAACAGTGTAACTTTACATAAAGATTGTACTTGTATGTCTACCTATTATAGACGTACACAGCATTTAAAGTAATAAAATAATAATAAGCAACAAAAAGAACAACAAATATATTATGACATTACTGGGGAAACGATCCGAGAATGTTATTTTTGAAAACATAACTAGTAGAATGAAAAATATCTATATCTATATTCTATTATCTATTTTCGAGATTTTTTTCTGTTTTTAAGAGTATAGATAGATATGAGTTTTTTTACGGTACCAATTAACGGGACGAACATTTCGTGCGCCTGCTGGTAAGCGACACACGTATCCATAGCAGTTGCAGAGCCGCCATTGCCTTCAAAACCGTGAATAAGTGCGGTGGATTTATTTTTATAACTAATCTGTAACTACAAATAAATAGTATACAAGTTAAACATATATTTTGATAAACGGTACCATTTAATATATTCGTCCAGAATTGTCATCATTTATGGCTATCTAATCACAGTTTGCCATACAAAAGTTATCTTAAAGCCAAACTTGGTATTTATTATAAAATTATATACTAATAAACAAAAGTATACTATATACTAATAAATATACTAATAAATAAACACAGTCGCGCCGAGTCGATCAAATCATAATACATAGCATCCTAGTTTTGTCTACATTTTTCAACATCTTATATCGCATGTAAGATAAGCAATATAAGCCTAATCGCCTAGCCATGGCATGCAGTATCACAACTGCTAATTGGCTATGAAAAATAATATTTCACTTACTATTAGGACAGTCTAGAATACTTAAACAACGTAAATTCAGAAAAAACCCTCGTTGTAATACCGAAAATTTGAGAGATAATGATTTTAAAACAAATATCTATGTATTTTATATATACCAATTAATAATTTAATATATCATAAAATAATAATTTGCAAACGCGGTAAATCTTAAATTAATAATTATTTTGAGTATCATTATTATACTTCTTCTTCCTCAATCGAAACCTCAATACTGATGCTCATGGTCCCTTTATTGACATGGACTATTTTGCACTATGTATTGCAATTTCGCCCTTGTTTTGTCGCCTTAAATAATGGCTGCTCTAAAATCTTGGTTTTGTGAACTCTCAATCATACTGGTCTAAAACCTCTCGGAGATCTATATGAATATTAATAAAAACATCAGTATATTCTCATATAGATATTGTATAATGTGTAATATGTATGTACAAACGAAATAATACTAAGCTACAATAACGTGTTTGATAATTAATTAAAATATGATAAATTGAAAGTCTACTGTCCTTTTATAACTGTATTCACATTACTGGTTTAAACTTATTGGGGGCTAAAACATAGTCTAAAGTTCAGGTTGAAATATCAAATCCTACTGAAATTCCAATCCCTGTATTTCTTTATATTTTAATTTAACACCGTATTTTGCCAATTAGAATTATTTTAATTTTATACTGTAGGTATATAGAATCTGCGTCTTTTGCCAAATTCACATATTAAAAACATTCTGTACATCTAAATGCAGTACATTTACGGAATAAACAATCTATTTTCATTTTATTATATTGTTGTGGCATTTATCGTCGTATCAAAAAAGTAATAAAGCATATTCGTATCAGAGTTGCGATACTGAATATTAATGGACTACTTAAGATGAAAGTATAGGCATTCCTCATCGATTATGACCTCTGCGCGGATGTTTTTTGATAAAATCTACTAAAATTTGTTAACTGGCTCGGCACGAGAGTTCCTCTTTCTATGAACTGAAATCTCTCTCATAAACATCCAGACTTCTATTCAGTTTTTACATAATGGTGAATAGTCAGATGATCCACCTGGTGGAAAGTAGTGACTACCGCACAGACAGCTGCGTTAGGTACAACAAATACGCTATCGGCCATGGAGCTTAGGATCTCAAGTCTCGTGCACTCCACTTCGTCTGGAATTGTGCTAACTCTCCCTAACTTTGAAAATGGAACACAACAGTGCTGTAAAAATTAGAAGGGCGATGGTACCAATCCAGGCGAGTTCTGTACCTACATGACAAGCTCCTACTGCCAATAAAAAAAAACAATGAGAATATTAACCCTTTCAGATGAATGTCACTAAAGGTCTGTGACACAAAACTTATTACTAGTGATAACCTACGCTAACGTTAATATGTTACAAATATAAAAATAACAATTAATGTTTTATATTATTAAAGATCATATGAAGTTGCAAGGTACTTTAGAACTTTGAAATAACAGCAATGTTAATGTTTCCATTGTAAAAACATTTATAAAGATAGTCCAAATTTTAATTTTCACTCATTCCATTATATACTAACTCTAGCATTAGATTAAAATGTCTATTATAGCGTCAATAAGAGTGAGATAGGTGTTTACATTAACATGAATGATTTCTCTCGGGGGAGCCTCACCCCTAGAGAGCGCGTCCCCAGGTGGTGGATAGGGGAAAGCTCGCCGACAGATCCAAGGGTGAATTCAGACCACATCACGAATTTCATATAACCTTTTCGTAAAAGAAAGCGTTAATTGCATATCTCACAACACGGAATTTCTATTAAACAAAAGTGTGAGAAAAACTTATGCAGGTATAGAACATTTTGACAAGACTGATTGCACGTTAACGCGTCATTATTCTTTAAGTATTATCTATATTTGTGTGATTCGATTTGGTAGGTCAATGGATTCGATACATACCTTTATGTCTGTCGGAGGGTAGGAGGGGAATTAAATACCTTCCCGCGAACCTAACAGGCCGGAGGCTTTGCTCTCCGTCACAAGTAATAGGTATACTTATCTACATGCTAATCATCATAATCGTCGTTTAATGCAGCTAAAACATTTCATTACATTTCCAGCATTTAATTTTATGCATATGTGTGTATTTTACTCGTATTATTAAAAAAAAATGCTCCATCTATCATCAGTCATCACACTTTAAAAAACTAGGTAACAGGAATGAACCAAATATCCGTAACATCCTAAAATTACTTTCACACGAGTGCAGTGTACTTAAGTACAATAGTATAATAATAATTTTTAAACACGTTTTCAGGTAGTATGGCGTTTCTCTGTCAACCCTTGGGAAGCCTTTTGTCCGGTCCACTGTTGGACTATGTAGGACGTAAGAAGGCGCTCTTCATCGTGAACATCCCGCACGTGGTGGCTTGGCTGCTCATGTATTACGCATGGAACGTGCCTTCCTTGTTTATAGGAAATGCACTTTTGGGCATCGGTACAGGCATCATGGAAGCACCCTCTGTAACCTATGTGGGGGAAATCTGGTATGTAGGATTAAAATAAATTGTTTTACTAAAGGCACTTTACATAATATTACAGATACATATATTCAAAGACCTAATATGTCGTTTGGTTCAAACAAACAGTGTTATTATAATTTTATTGATCTAAAGATATGTGAGTTTCCGTAACAAAAACACAAAAATTTTAAATACTTCGCATAAGCATACTTTTACATTTTTTAAATTAGTTTATTTCTTGTAACAACGACACATGGCATTAAATTGAATCAATTTACAAAATTCAATTAAAATTAAATTATCATAATATCCGAATAATAATAATAATAATAACGCACACACACTTACAGCCACGCACTAGGGAAACCCTGTGTCGCGGAGGCCATGGACACACACGTAGACAACCACAAATTACACCAAAACTCACGAGAGAAATTAATATAGGCCATACAAACATTTCTCCCGGCCCGGGAATCGAACCTGGGACCTCTGCGTGGCAGTGCGGCATGGTAACCGTTCTGCCACAGAGGCAGTATATATATATATATATATATATATATATATATATATAAATTACGCACATAATTATAGACATACATTTTCCGACATAACCGGTGATACTGTTCTAATTTAGAGTTAATGAACTTATCTATAGGTACAAGTTTTACTACTTTTCGTAATTCTTACCTAAGTTTTACTTATATTCAACGGTTTCATTAACGGATGCGCACATTTAACGGTTTTATTGACAAATTTTTTGATTTTTTGATTGTGTTACGCGTATTTGTCCGGACCATAATAGGTAGGAAAATCTTGACAAGACTATCCAATCCGATCAGGCGGGTGATTCACGTAATCAAACCGTTACGATATCGTAGCGATTTAGTCGTTGAACTGCTTTTTCGTATTCACGTGTAACAATGAACGCCAACAAGTCCAATTTTAAAGTCGTTCGATCCAAATGTCGTTAAAGCGTATTCTGGTATATGAATCAAACTTAAATCGAGTCTAAACGACAAGTCATACGTATACTGCTAAAATTTTGACAGTTCAATAGACTTTCGACGACTAAATGTCAAATTTCACAATCCAAGATGTCGTTCATTAGTCGTTAAGTTTCGATTCTACTTATATCAACGTCCGTTCAAGTGAAACGTGAATACCCAGTTTGGATAGGACGTCGATCGAACAACTACGTAACTGCAACGACATTTTGATAGCTTGAACTTACATGAATTGCACTACTGATAGAATCCTCACTGAAAGTTTCGCCTAACAACACACATTTTACTTCAAAAAACACTGTCTGTCTTGAAATTCTTTAAAGACTTCTTTTGTCACAGACATCCCTATTGTATCTTAAAAAGCAGTCATTTATGAAATTTGACAAAGAAGTCAATTTATGTAGAAAGAAATAATAGAATAATTGTACTTCTAAGATTTCTTAAACGAGTTTTTGTTTGTATGACTTCGCTCTTATTCGTTAAGCTTTCTTTCACCTTTATTTCAACTCGCAAACATTTCTTTGCGCCGAAACGAACTTGCTTCTTACCAAGAGTTGGAAGACCCACTGGTGCTGTGACCTTCTTGTCGTAGTGGTGGCAACCGGGTTGCCGCCTTTTATGTGTAAGATGGGGAAATACAATCGATTTTTGGAGACGCTCATTGTAGTTTATAAAATTAGCAGCATACTGCATTGCAACCATGACAATATTGAAAATTAATGCTCAAATGTGAGGCATGCCTTATGACAGTAGACATGAATTTGTATTATTAGTATCATTACATTAGGCAAGTAATCATGCGACTTGTCGCGATACTTCACTGTACATATCGTAATGGCGTCTCTGGTGTACCCGGACTTAGGCATGGACTCGCCGGGTTTTGTGGTTAGCTGCAGGGACGAACAGGTTCATCTGCTCCGATAATGTGTGACCTGGGCGTCCGCCCCGCGCGCAGTTAGCGCGTCTCGTTGAACGTCTGAGGCGAGGAGACGCGCGGGACACGTGAGTTGCCCTTTAAGTCGGCGGCTATGACTGGACATTGTCGCAGGACACTGCCACTTGGCATATCCGACACTAGCCCGTAGAGCTAGTAGAGGATAAGCTAGACATCTTCTGGTTCCTCCAGCCGCGTAGGAATCTGGGAACTGGAGAGATGCCGTTCATTCGGCATCGGGAAGTGAGCGTGGCTTACAGCTCCGCCACCAATGAGGAGATTTGGTAGTCGGCTTAGAGTCGGCGGCTCAGTGGTGACAACCGTTAGTTGTGCGGAGCGCGACGGGAACTGAGCGTGCCTACAGCTCCGCTACCTATCTGGAAAATAGGGAAGGTGCTGTACGTGTACCCGGGGCCGCTTACCTAAGGCACTAGCCTTACAGAGAACCGAATGTAGTACGTGCAAACGTGTCATAGTGCCCTTCCCGCATAACCTAGAGGTTGATTGGGAGGGACACTATAAACAAAAGTTATGTAGAAAGATATGGGACTGTACATATCGTGATATTGGACCTCTTTACATGAGTTCCCATTACAGTTTTATAACATTTCAGCAATATAGAGATCTATTTTGTAGTGTAAAAATAATGTCTCCACACATTTATGTGCCTTTCATAATAAAAGTGGTGTTATTATAAGATGTACGAAATATTCTGCCTATAGCGTCAGAGCTACTTAGAACAACGTTAGATACCTTTAGCCGTTTTCTCGTTTGCAAAGATGGTTTATACAGGATTACTAAAGCAAAAATGTTTACCCTTTTCCACGCGTTTTAGAGGTGATTCAAAAAAGCCGTTCTTAAGTTCTCAAGTTTTCATATTCCTAGGACTTATAGTTTTTACTTTCCGCACATCTAATGTGAATTTCTCCGCACCCTACTCCTTTATAAACATAGATACCTATTCTAGATAGTGTCCATGAAATCATATCGTTATATTGTAATACTCAACTCGTAATACAAGATATTCTCGAATTTCAGACCACTTCCTATGTTGTACTCCCGACTTGTTGTTATAGGTAGATAAAGAATCGTTTTGCCGTGGCAAAATTAAGTAGCGAATAAGTCTAGCACATTTACTTAATTCTCGATTCGTTTTATTATATTTGGTAAAATTTACTTTTCTGTTCCAGCGATCCAGCGCTCCGAGGTATCCTGACGACGCTAACCAACTGTTTTACGTCGACGGGGATGTTCTTGGCTTACCTCCTTGGAACAGTTCTGCCTTGGCGCCAAGCCGCACTCGTGTCGCTTGCCATACCGCTCACCACTATGGTTCTAGTGTTATTTGTACGTATTCGTCAAGTTAAAGTATTAAGGTCAAACTCAGTATCAGGATGTACAATATAAAATGAGGCGTCCATTACAACCTTAGAGGATGGAAAAAAATAAAGGAACAATCTAAAGTGACAACATAGATCGAAACTGACACTGGCCCAAGCCTATAACTGCCTCCGTGGCCGAACGGTTACCATGCCGGACTGCCACGCAGAGGTCCCAGGTTCGATTCCCGGGCCGAGAGAAATAATTGTATGGCCTACAATTATTTCTCTCGTGAGTTTGGGTGTAATTTGTGGTTGTCTATGTGTGTGTCCATGGCACCCGCGACACAGGGTTTCCCTAGTGCGGGGCTATGTTGAGTGTGTGCGTTATTTTATTTATTTATTTATCCGCACTTAAGGAAATAATAATAAAAATTCAACCGCTTAAAATGAAGAGAAAAACAACTGTATGAAAGGTTGTTATTACCTATGTTGTCATTACATTGCTACGCTCCTTGTTTTTTGACAATGCATAGAAACCTTATTATTCATTACAAGGCATACTCAGTTATACAGTTCTCCCGTTTTATAAAAGTGAAGCATGTAATCTTAAGTTGAATATTATATAATATTTATAGGTTCCTGAGACTCCAATATGGCTACTGTCGAAGGGACGCTCAAAAGAGGCTCTACATTCACTCTGCCGCCTCCGAGGCTGGGCTAAACCAGAAGATGTAAAAGCTGAATTTGACGAACTGGAGCAGTATAATGATATTATCCAGCAATGTGCCATTTGCGTCAAACAAGGCAAAACACATATGCACCCATGCGAGCATACACATACATACATAAACGCTAACATGTTCAGGAGGATGGCATTGAACATCAAAAATGTGCTATTGGTAAAGGAAACCATGAGACCCTTTACTCTTGTAATGTCGTATTTCCTTTTCCACACTATGAGTGGTCTCATACCAGTAAGGCCAAACATGGTGAACGTGTGCAAGGCGCTGGGAATGAAGTACGATCCTAAAGCTATAGTGGTAAGCAATTGAAATGAACCCTATCACTCCATGTATTGAGTTGGCCAAAAAGTCCAAGCTGTATCGAAATATAAGTAAAACCCACTAAAAAAGTATGTCAAACGTGCTGGTTAAGTTGATCTACTTTTGCCAAGTTTCGGATAGATTTCCTCTTTTTTAGAAATTCCTGTCTTTGTTTATAAAATACAGCTCTAAATGTCGTTAGATGATCCCTTCGTTATCAAAATTGTGTCCATTCAAAGAATTTAGTATAGCTCGAAACAAATGAAAATATGAAGGGGCTATCTCGAGCGAATACGGATAGAATACGGTAAATAACGTAACACATCCTAACCTAACTGCAGTCGTTTTTGACGGCCATACGAAGATGAGTGTTGTTTGGCATTATCATAATGAAATTCGACACCTTTACGCTTTACCAGTTCTGAGCATTTTTCATGAATTAATAAATGTAAAACTTTCCCGCCTATTCTTAAAATGTGCTCTGAAATATTTAATGCTCAGATAGATGGTGGCAAAATACGCATTTTTTGGCCAGCCCACTAATTATAGCTACCTCTTACAAAGCGTTTATTGAAAATTGTTTTGCTCTGCGAATTGCTTTGTGAATATTATTGTACAATTATGTAACGTTGTAACACCTGTGAACAACAGCGAAAGTATTATGTTACGAATTAGCGCTTTAAGTAAGTTGAAAATGACGTGGTTTATATGTGCAATCCTCATTTTTCTCTCATTTCAGGTAATCGTTGGAGTGGTATTCATAATAATGAACCTTGTATCAGCGTTGATCGTAAAGTTGGTTGGCAAAAGAAAACTTGTGTTAGGCTCGCTCTTGGGAACAGCATTTTGCAGTCTCGCGATAAGTTTATACGCTCGACTGAACCTCTCACCAGAAGTCTTTTCTTATGACGCATTAACGTTTCCTGTGAAGAGTGAATTTTTGCCCGTTGCTCTATTTATACTTCTCGTTTGCTTTAACAGTCTTGGCATTCCTTGGATTTTGCTCTCCGAAGTTTTCCCCTTCAGGTAAAATACACTTCAATAGAAAAGTTTCAGATTCATCGTGTTACCTGTTTGTTAAACTAAAAATATTCCTGTTTTCTACAGAAGTCGAGGTATTGCAACTGGTTTGGCGGCGGCATTCACCTACGTGATCTTCTTTATCGCATCGAAGACCAACTATAACCTTGAAGCGCACTTCCATTTAAGCGGAACGTTTGCTTTATATGCAACATTCGGCATCGTCGGCACTTGTTATCTATACTTTTTCTTACCAGAGACCGAAAAGAAGTCTTTGGTTGAAATCGAGTCCTTCTATAAAGGCAAACGCAAGATATTTGCAGACGACTTTTTTATTAACGCCTTTAGGAAAAATAGGAGCAGAAGCAATGAAACCAACAAACCTATGCTAGTTACTTAAATTTCTTTCCCATGTATTAATTGTATAATATTTTCCTTCAGTGATTAACTTTGTGTTTTCTATAAAAATTTTCACAAATCTGAATATAATTTTTCTAATATGAAGACATTAGGTTAGTTTTCTGTCCTTTGTTGTATTTCCATTCTACCTACTTGTACATAACGGAAATAATAACTAGTTACTTGGTTGCTAACCTACCCAACTATAAAAACTATATTCATAGCAAATAGAATAAAATGTGTTTAATCATAGATTAATATTATGTTAGTTGTATATTGATACAAGAATTACACACTGTCACAAATTATTCACGTATGCTCTAATCCACTTAAAAAGAAATATCTTGGAACCCTTGCGTTTTCATTAAAATTACTTTCTTATCAAAAAATCGCTAGAATGCGAATCGACGTGATTATTATTCAAGTCTTGTAGAATTCTATGAAAATCTCTTGTTTCACCACGCACTGTAGTTACGTATGGGGTCAAACATGGGGGCCCATTACATTTACGATCTTGTCTAGACTTAATTTTTCCTTTTGTAATACTGGTAGTGGGATCAGTGACGGTATTTGCTTCAACTTGACTATCGCTTTCATACTCATTCGACTCAAAACCCTCCGTAGATTTCAGTTTTTCATTTGTTTCTTGGCTAATCGTAGAAGTCGACACCATCGTACTGGTTCTGGTTCCGGAAGTCGTAGGCAAATTTGTAGTCGTCACGCACTTTTCGCTCGGAACCAATTCATAATCTGAAAAAAAGTAGACCTCTTCAAATAGGTCTCGATACGATTTTTTTTATTAAGCTTGTGCTTACTACGTACGCCCTAATGGTATAGGTTACAAATAATAGCTCACATGCACCTTATTATTTTTTTCATCACACTTACTCGTAAACAGTGTCATGTGGGCAAAGTCGACCGTAATGTCTTAAATTATGCACAGGGGCTTTTTCATTACAACCTTTTTTTGTAGATTACAATCACGTATATAAAATTATTCGATTACAATTTTTTTGTTAGAATCTCAACGTGTCGAACCAAAAGCTACTGTTAAATGTCAAAATAATTAATGAAAAATACTTAGTTTTCTTTATATATTTCTTTATTGAACACTTGCTGAGAGTCTTTACGCATTTTTCTTTTTTTTTCTTGATTTTTGTGTTTTATTGCTTTTGGTGATTCTCTTGCGTTTCATGGTTTTTTGATTCCTTGGTTTGCGTAGCCTTGAGGATGGCTTTTGCGAATTCCGTCGTTTTTGTTTTGCAGTATTTGGACGATTTTTGTGGTGACGACGAAAGTTATGTCTGGTCCTTCTCTTTTTGAGAGCACGTCCACGGCGTGTTAAGTCTATAGTTTCCTTAAGGTCTTGTGCAACGTTATTTAGATCTAATTTTGGTGGAGGCGCGGTTTCTACCATATTTGAATGTGTTATTAGCGTCGTGTACCAGGTGTACGGTCTTTGACAACGTGTTCCATCACACAGTCCTTCATATGGATTCAACTCTCCATCTGGCTGTATAAATGGCCTAATATCTGGCATTGGTGTATTGTCATCAACTACCAACTTATTATTCGTTGTATCACCGTCGTCAACGTCTAGTGATTTGGAAACCTCTAGTGATTTCGGAAACTCTAGTGATTTGGTAACCTCCGCCAGGTTATCAACCGTTGGTTGTTTCGTTATTATATTTTCTAATTCTTTGGAACCCGACTCATCATTAGATTTTATTACAACTTCTGTTTCTGATCCTTCTGATCTTGAAGAATCTTGACCAACAAACTGATCATCATTACCTGTAGTCTCTTCCTTTCCTCGATATTCGGGATCGTCGTCAATTTCAGACCTTGGCGCGGAACCCGGATCTTTACGTATTTCATCGTTATCGGGATCGTCCATAAGCTTTTCTGCTTTGTCTCTAGCTTCATTTATTTCATAGTTTAGATTACCAGTTGTTGGTTTTTCGTCGTCGGAGCGTTCTGTGAAAAAATTACATATACTTACCTGTATTAAATCTTTGACTTGAAACTATATTATTATTTTAGATTCTTTCCTAGCCATTCCTCCACAGAACGAAACTATGGACTCCATTTTTATTTTGTTACATTTTCAATAGATTTTAATATTACTTTTCTAAATTGGCAGGGATCATACAACTATTCTTAAAATATTACAATTATGGATTCAATTTTTACAGCTTTTGTCATACCTGGATCAATAGTCGACTTTGTTTCTTCAGGGTCTGGTGTGTTTGACAACTCAGTGTTCACTGGCTTTTTATTATTTAAGTCATTAATTTTATTGGATTGTATTGTGTCGCCTTCTGATTGCTGTGTACTTGTCAGTGGTGTTAAGGATTGCGTAGTCACGTCACAAGTTGGCGTACATTCTTGCGTAGATGATTCTGAATTAGTTACACAAGTCGTTGCAGTAGATGTTTCATTGGTTGTGTCGCAAATCAAGTCAAAACCTGTAAAAGAATTGACCTCTTCAAACGAGTCTGTGTAACTCTTAATTCATTTGCTTATTGTATAGTACGAATTATGCGTACGTTAAGCTAATACACATTTATTCCAGTCTTATGTCGGAGTAATGCTGAGTAGTTTAAATATGAACAGATCTTAATTCTTCATTAAAATTTCTTTCAAGGCTATATAAGTATTATACACAAAACAAAAACCACTAAATTAAAACAGAAATATGTTTATTCGTTATATTGGTACAATATTTCATTGTATCTCTTCTGCGCACTTCTCCTGACTGTTGTTAACCAAGTGAAAGGTCTCTGGCACATTCCAAATTCACAGGATGAGGGATACCGCCATGTTCGACGATCATCTGTTTCTGTAGTACTACTTGATTTTGTAAAGTCAGTATGAGTAACAATCACTTCATCACTAATTACGTCATCTATTGTGTTTAACTTACTTGGAGTGTAAAGTGGTTCAGCAGAAATAGTTACAGTATTATTAGTTTCGGTACTAAGCAGCGATACAGGAGTATTAGGTGAAGAAGTTGATATAGAAATCAAAGTAGAAATAGTAGGACTCATGGTAAGAGTGGTACTCGTTGGAGTGGTGGGAGTAATTGTTATAGGGGAAGAAGTCGTAATAGTAGTAGGCTCTGCACTAGTCCGTTTTTTTGTTGATGTCGGAAATGTATAAATTTTTGTAGTAAACTTAGTTGTTTCCCAAGTCTGTGGTCTGTCACAACAAACACTGCTTTTAGTAGCTGTTGAAGTCTTTTTAGACGTTTTTTCAACAGTTGAAGGGCTTGTAGTTGCTGTTGAGTAAATTTTGTTAGTTGTGTCTTCGGTAGTCGTCGAAGTTGTTTTAGTGGTTGTTGGGATGGTTGTGGTTGTTGAGGTGGTTGTGGTTGTTGGGGTGGTTGTGGCTGTAGTTTTACTCGTAGAGGTTGTAGTAGGCGATGTTGTGGTTCTAGTAGTCTGTGAAGTTGCAGTAGTGGCTGTATTAGGACTTGTAATGGTGCTACGGATTGTAGTGGGCTTGGTCACCTGCGATATTATAAAATCAATTATTGAACTCGTCGTCGTTTCCCATGTTTTGGGTCTATCACAGCAACTAGTAGACAACATTGTCAAAAGCTTACTAGTGCTAGATCTCTTTTTCGTTGTTGTTTTAATAAATGTTGATATTGGAATTGTTGTTTGTACCGTTGTTGTTTTTTCAACAGTTGTAATGGTTGAAGGTGTTGTAGTTTTTGTCGATGATGGCGGAGTAGTTCTGTCTGTAGTAGTTACTGTGTGTTTTGTAGTAGGCATTTTTGTTGTGGTTTTTTTTGCAGTAATAGGCGTAAATGGATCTATCGGATGGGACTCGCTATAAAATGTTACTGTAGAGGGTTCTTTTGATAATGTGGTTTCCCAAGTCCTTGGCCGGTCACAGCATTGTGTAACACTTCTCTTTGTTATAGATGAGGTACTACTAGTAGTGGTAACGCTAATGACACTTGAAGTGGTAGAAGACATAATTGTTGTACTTGTGCTACTCGCAATTATTGCAGAAGTATTAAGAGTAGTAGTGCTGGGGTTAGTAATACTTGCTGTAGTCGTGGTAGGGGCCCTCGTAGTTCTTTTTGTAATGCTGGTCGTACCAGTGGTAGTGACACTGGTAGATGCACTGAGAGTGCTTGCATGAGTTGGTTCACGAGGGAAAACAACTGTCTCTGGTTGTACTGATGTCTGAGACGGCGCTGTTGACGACTGAGATCCACAGGGCACACATGACTGTGTCGACAGAGGCTCTTCACTAGGTATTAAATCGGAACTACCACAGAAAAGAAAATACGTCTCTTGATAATCTGAAAAAATTAAAAAAAAAATATATAAAGCAATTTAGACTTTCGAACAGAACCGAAAATTAAGATTTTTGTTAGTACCTAATTTAAAATTTTACCCGTATCCGTATAAAAACCACAAAACTAAAATTCTTAATGTTTTAGAGTACAATGTTATGTACATACTGTATAAAAGACAATAATCACAGACTTTGTATTAGTATGTTAATGGTTTCAATCCAAATAAGATCGATTGGAAATACTATTCAAATACATTTAACTTATCTTTAGTCCTAAGAAGTTTTGATAAACACTACATAAAATTGTAGAATATAATATAAGTAATTCCGCAATATCAGTATTTTAAAGGATCTTAAATTTTTCAACTAAGGAACTATACGAGGATATAGGATTAGAGTAAAACTAACATTAGTAACAGTGAATGAATTTATTCTATAAAAACTACGTTTCTTGAAAGTCATCGCGACTTTACGAACAACAAGGACGATTGTCTATGCACGGGTTTGTCCTGAATTCTGAAAGACAAAAGATAAAACAATGGTTAATAGCCGGTTTTATCTTTATAATGTCTAGTTTTACTCCAATCGTACTTTGTTCACAGGAGTGTATTTCAATATTTATGTAATTACAAGTCTTAGCGATAAGTCATTAGTAAATTATTATTGATATGATGTGACTTTGTTATGTTTATGTCTCAGGTTACAAAACATTATGCAGATGGAGCATACGCAACAAACGATCTGAAGCCGCTTTTCATTTATTGTATGCGTGATAACTAAGAGGGGCGCTGTAGGGACATGTGCATTTGTGTGCGTGTAAGATTGGCATTCTTACACGCACACAAATGCGCATGATACAGCGAAAAAACTCGCGCATTTTTTTCTGTTTTTTTCTATAATACTAAAGTTACAAACTGGAAATATATTTTGCAATATGGTACCTAAGTGGTATTAGGATTACATCACACAAAGGAAAAAATATTTTATTGAGATATTTTAAAATTGAAAAACTTTGATAATTCAATATATTTATTACAATTACAGTTACACAATATCTTTATAACCTTTATTTTGTACACTTTTTATAATACTACTGTTTCGCATCTATACATCGAATATTCGTTTTTGATTTTGATATGTACTCGAAGTGCAATCGCACTATCAAATACTATTCTATTTTTTTAATTTTTTTTTATTAAATTAACTTTGAAATCAATTCCATAGCAATGACAATCATCTTCCAATTAGACACAAATTGTTTGGTTCCCAATAAAACTCTTTAAAATCTGTGTAGATATAATATTTATTTTATTGACACGTTTGCTTTCAAAATCATTCTGTTTATGACACGTGCACACAACAATGAAAGTTCTCTGTATCTAAAGGGTTACATTTTCTTTTGTGTACATAATGGCTATTAGACATTGGTTTGAGAATAATTTAGGTAAATCTGAATTACCTAAAAAACAATTTTGGACCGCTGTAATGGACCAACCTGTATGTATGTATAATGCTATTTAATTTCTATATAAAAGTATAAATTAATCGATGCTCCCGTCACCCACGCATATTTAGTTAATTTTAAGGAAACCTATTTCGATATAGACTGGCAACACGTACGAATTTATGTCGAGATTTTATGTTCCGAGCGAATCTCAAAAAATATTGGGTAAATAAATTACAAAACAATTAAATAATCAACAGTTCCCTGTGAAAAGATATTCCATCTTTTATTTTTTTTGTTTTTGGGAACAATGGTTAAAGATACAAAATGGCATTTTTAAACATAAAATAACTAATCACTCGTGACGTGCAAACAATTCGACGCTGTGCTTAGTACTGACGCGAGTTTGTATTCGCTTTTGAATTTGTATTTGTTTTTGGTGGCTTCACTTTCATGTTCTGCACGCGCCATCTGCCTATGTTTTATAATCCGAGGTTTATGTTATGACAGAATAGACAAATGTATGTTGTCTTAGCGCCCAGTTACACGAGGAGAAAAATTTTCTCGCGGCCGCCGCGCGGCGACCAGCCTGTTACTACGTCATCATGTACATTAATGGCGGATCTGAATTCTGTGTACTAGGCAACAACATTTAAATACCTCTGAATCGGTCGCCGCGCGGCCGCCTCGTAGACCAAATTCAAGCCAGATTCGCCCGCTTGTCCGGGACGCTCATTTAAAACATAAAATCTAAATAAATAGAGCGTATTTTGCCATGACAGACGCACGCGTTCGCTACGCGGTAGCAACGCGGACTCCGCTCGGCGAACGCGCGGCGGCAGCGCGATGTGAGCGCGATTGAATTCGTGTCGAATAAATGCGCCCTTACGGAACGTAATTTAATAAAAGTTATTTTTTACATAATGAGCAGGAAAAAGATGTCGAAAGGTGCGTTAGTTATTTTGCTACTCATAAATGTAGGCACGTCGATCTCTCCGTACCTTACGTGCGTTCTTTTTTTTTTTTTTTTTTTTTTTTTTTTATTGCGACTCGACAAAATGACTGCACCGCGCCTGATGGAAAGTGCGAATACAGTCCAGAGATGAGAGTAACGGATGGAAAACACAAATATCTTCTTTATATTAAATCCAATATGTAAACGCGCACATTCAGCTGGCATGTACATTGACAAACGCGGACGAATTTCGATTACAGATGCGGTCGCATCCTCAACAAATTCGGCTTCAAACTGTTGAGCAATATCATAATTAAAAATCGATGCCAAATTTGTAAAATATTTTGGGGGTTAAAAAGCTTGCGCCATAGATTGTAGCATCGACACCCTTTCTACACATGACTGGTGGTGGTAGTAGTAGACCTCGGACATAGCTAGTAGGTAAGCCTCTTGCCAAGTCGCCAAGCAGCTACTGCTGTGTTCTCGTTTGAAACCCAAACCAAAGTAGCCGTTCTAGACTGAAGGGTACATTTGTACTGCAATGTCAAAGTCAATCTCAATGCCAGATTAGCGGGATCCGAAGCCCGCTTGCCGACTGCAAGTAGTTGAGCGGTGTAATAAGCTGGTTAGCCTTCAGTGAAAGCTGCCCCGCCAACTCGCAAAATTCCCGCAGTACTCTGTTATGCCTATTGACAACCGAATGAAAGAACCCGAAAGAGCAACGCGCTCGAAATTAATTTACCTTACACCCATGATGACATCAGTTGTAAACATCTTCGTGAATGTGGGATTCTGGTCTAGAACAAATTCTTTACGCTCGTATATATCGCTCGCATAGTGGAAACTTGGACATACCTACGCTGCTCCACTGTCTCTGCTGCTCGACAGAAACAGCCCAACAACGGTATCCTAGTCCAATTTGTATTTTTGGGGACATTTAACACTTCCTACCACCAGGAATAGTTATTTCCATACTAAAAAACCGTCCACGCAGGAAGAAAAGTGCAAGTATCAGCTCTATAGTTAGAGTTGTCTCAGCTTATGGCACCCAGGCTACATAAGACTCCGAAGTGCGAAAGATAATTATACAAAGGAAGGTTTTAAAAGGTTTTAAAAACATTACGTGAGCTAGACATCAATAAAGACAGTGACCTTTACAGCTATCCTAACGGTTGCCCTTCGCAAATGTGCGGCCGAGTTGTCTAACTTTTAACTTCCATGTATTACCTCTCTATGAGTTCTGTCGGGCTAGCACGTTAGGGCGCGACTAGTGCGAGAGCGACATAAATAGCGCACGCATAAAGATGTTGCACTTTATGCCGCTCTAGCGCAAGTCGCGTCTTATCGTGCTAGCCCTACTGGACGAGTTCCAAGAACCTGGAAGTTTGCAAATGTACAGCCTATATCAAAGATAGATATTCTTACTGGGCTATTCAGTTACCGACCTACCGCAATCTGTAAGACCATGGAGCGTGTATTGAACAGCTATCTCCTTGGATACCTTGGCATTTACGAGACAAACGCGTTACAGAATACTTGGTCTCATAAAAAAAGATACAAATGTGATGACCGGGGATTATATTTTATTATTAAACTGAATGTTTTCTGAAATTAGATTAAAATATGAATGTAAAACATTTTTGTGAAAAATTTGTATTACGTTCATATCTTGTTTATAAATTTTGCGCCTGGCAGTATTTTATGGCAGTTTTTTTTATAATAACAAGTGACGGTACGAACCTGTCGTGCGCCTGGTACTAAGCCACACGCCAGCCCATAACAGTTGCAGTGTTACTCAGAGCTTTAATTCCCAAATATCTGAGGGGCAGTGCCACCGCGCCCGTCACCCTGAGACATAAGTTGACAAGTCTCATGTGCCTTTAATTTCACCAAAAGTTAACATGGTATAAATTGTAATCTCTTGAAATTGAGAGAACCCATTCACAATACGTATCGATACTATAGCCTTCATAACACCATCAAAATTTAACAATTTACAACAACAGTTTTAGTTCTACGGTTTAACTGTCACCAGATCCACTTCCACCAAGTCGTAAGCGGCAAAAAAATGCAATGTGTCTACTGCTAAATATAATTTCTAGTTTGTTTTTAGTGGAAAGGTATGTTTTTTTCTTTATTATAGTATTAAGTGACGGGTCGAACTAGTCGTACGTCTAATGGTAGGCGGTACGCCTGTCCAAAGCAGTTGCAATGCCACTCAGAGCGTTAAATCACAAAGTTATGAAGGGTTCTGCCACTGCACCTGTCACTCTGAGACACAAGTTGAGAAGTCCATGTGCCTGTAATTTCTAGCACCCCTACCCCTACCTACCATTTCTGCTTGGCATTTCTTTAGTAAGGTGGCAGATATGTCCAAATTCTGGTACAGCATTGTTCTACAGTGGTGTGTGGTTGATAGCAAAACGACACCATGTTCGGCGCAATCGAACGATTGAAAAATATACCATATATTTTTTAAAAAGGACAGATGAAATTTAAAACTGTAAATAATCAAGCAATCAAATTTAAATTAAGCTATTAAGCTATAAGCATTATATAAAAAGATGAAATGTTAGGGGTGGATGGACAAAACAAAAATTCGTAACCCCTTAGTAAGATGCATCGACTTGGCCAATCTGTAATTCGCAACGATCAGTATGCGCGTAGTTTGGTGAGAGAGCAAATTGTAATGTGAGCCATAAGCTTTCAGCCGAAACGAAGAAGAGACGAAGGGAAAAAGAAAGTCTGACCACTGGGACAAGGAACTTGACTTATCGAAGTAAACAAAATACGTCCAAGATTCGACTCATTTAACCACGACAATTAATAGGGCCATGACGAACGGTCAAAATGATGATGATCTATATCATAATAATTGAAGTAGAGACAAAATTACACAATTCTCAACCTAACATTTTACTGTGAATGAAGCATCCTTATTACATATTTAATTATGAAATATTGAAAAGTAGACAAATGATTGAATTATTTAATCGAACGTTTGAAGGAATCGTGAGCGGCGCGTGCCGCTAAACCAGACGGTTTATGGACAGGGAAGGGAGAATCACCCACTACGTTATGCCCAGGCCGCCTAATCGCGCAGTGGGAGGAACGTAATTTGGGATCCAACTTATTTAGTTAAAACCAAAAAGTCGTTGTGATCGTAACCATGTAATTAGGTACCTAGTTTCGATATTGCTAAATTAACGCATCACTAACATATTTACAATTGATGCCCGTAGCTTTTTTCTTTTAGTTCTTGTCCTCCATCTTAAAATGGCTCTACAAAATTTTATTAACGTTTTAATAGAAGTAGTAGTAGTTTTTCGCTATAGAAAAGTAACGGTTCTATAGCGAAAAATCCTTGAACTTTTAATAACATGTTAATTTAAAGAAAATATAAAGCATAACTCAGCGTATCTGACTAATTCATACAAAGTGATGCTGATGATAGTTTTACCTAAGTTTTAATTAGTGAGCATACACTAACACAAAATGAGTGACACAACTAACAAAAAACTGTTTTTAATAAAGGATTATGGTGCTCATTACCTGTGCCAAAGTCGCAGTTATATTCATACATGTCACATTGGTCGAGGAAGGAGCGACGTGAGCAGCCGCCGGGCGTTGTGGCGCACACCTGTCGACCGTCGTGCACGCATGCCATTGAAAGCCGGCAGTAGTCTATTGGCTGCAGGCAAAGATATTAGATATTACAACGCAGTCACCCGAAAAAACTACAAATTTGCTCAAAAACTGCAGCTGACGAATATGCCACTCATCGAAATACAAATGTTGAGGCTGGACAGGAATTAATGGTTTTTTTTAATTAAATGCCTCAGTCTTAAGACTGTTAATTAAATAGTCGTAAAGATTGGTAACCTACAAAAGGTAAGTTGAATATTAGTTAAATATAAAATTATCTAGTCTATGAATTCTTATTCTATTCAGAAGATGTTAAAATAACCAACTAAAAAAACCTCAATAAACAAACAATTACAAAGTAATAAAGCGAAACAATACCGGCAACTAGGCAAGGATCCTTCAGATATTCATCCACATTGACAATACAGTCGTTAGGCATCTTAATTAAATTAACCTATTCAACAGTTAATTCTATTTTTTAAAGTAGGAATCTGACAAATATAGTTAAGCATGGATGTATTTATAACAGATAAATTAAGTTGGATACTCAATCATTATTGCAATTATTAAGTTAACATTATAAAAAATATAAAAATAAACCAAATGAAAACACAATTACGTCGATCATCAGTTTGTAAGTACTATGTTTATCATCAGTACATGAGTATGTATTATAAATGATATCGTTTCAATATTGTGAATTAGATGGTACACCATAAAAGAGAGTCCCAAAAAGTATTGTACCTATAAGGTAAATAGAAATAGAAACTGAACTCAACAAAAGTGTAACTAAGCGCTCTATGCGAGACCCAGTAAACCGTAAATCCAGTAAACGGCATGCTGCTGAAGTTACACACCATTGCACAACTTCTACTTAATAATTCATATAGTGTAAAGTAACCAAGAAAAAATGGTGATGAATGGAGGCGAAATTTTTAAAACTCTTTTTCTATACCTATCTGCAACTTCTTATCATCAAACTAAACAACCGTTTAAAGAGAAAGAAGAATACTTCATGAGTAAGTCATACAACAACAAGTAGAGTAACTTGATAGAAAAACAGTGCTCATCTTCTTGCAAACACTTTTACCACAAACGTAAAAAATACCGTATAAAACGTGGAAATCTAATTATGCGGACCACGTACGACCGCGTAACCATTCGACAACTACTGTACTCTTGAACTGCCTCTATTTTCATAGGATGAGGAGATGCACAGAAAATCATAATTTTATGTTAATCTCCAATTACATTCATTAGAGAAGAAAGGCGAAAAAACAGTTTTGAATACCAAGTAGAGTAAATCAAGTAACTAGTAGATTTGGAACTACAGAATTTTCCCAGGCATTATGTTAATATAACCTTACATATGATTTTTAATCAGTTGTAACATCCCCTACAAATCACACTGGACACGGGTATGTGAATTACTAATATACTTGGCATAGGATACTTTACGTACGTATATTAAATGTTGTCGTGTCCAAGGTACGCTTGACAAAGCTGAAATACATAATATAATAAATTAATAAAATAGAACAAATATAATAAAGTGTAAATTTACCTGTTAGTTAGTTACAGTGCCAAGGCAAGACAAATTTTATGCTTTTTTTATAGTGTAAGTGGGTAAACATGATGGTTCGAATAATTCAAGGACTCGTAGGGATTTATTCTCTTCCGTACTTATTCCCTAAACATTTTCTATACTTTCATATAGTCGCGTACAATTGCTTTCACTTTCGATACAATATATTAATTTGTATTATGATGTACATAAAATTCAACTATGGATAAAAGTTCAATTAACCCTTATATTTCAGAGTTTTTATTCTTCGCTGTTATGACGACAAGATTTTCTTTCAACGTTAAATCATGTAACCAACGTATCTACTAAAGTGCATTTAATGCATAATGTGTAGTTGTAAAAAAGCTCACCCAAGATTAATATAACAAGCATTGTTTTTCAAATAATTGCAATTACATTTTCATTATATTCGATTGTATTCACCTATTTAAAATAAAAATACAGTGGTTACCTAAATAGAGTACAAGTATACAAGCGTAATCTTAACTTATCGATATTGGGCAACAAGAACACTGAACTCAATTTGAGTTTATGGCATATAAAATATGAAGCGAATAATCATGTAGATTTTTTTATTTGACATTCTGAGGTTGCTGGTTCCAGAGATAGTCAAGTTGTGTAAGTTTCTACATGGACGATTACAATCTTCATAACTATAAACATTAGGCAACATAACATAGGTTGCTCTGATCCTAAAGTAAGTAACTAAAGTACTTGCTTTATGGAAATCGAAGACAGTGACGGTACTATAAACACTCAGACCCGAGACAATATTGAAAAGTTAGTTTTCGACATTAACCCGACCAGGTATCGAATCTGAAACCTCAGAGATGGCGACTCACGAAAACCAGTGTGCAAGCCACTCGACCTCGGAGGTCGTCGTTCATTTCATTCGAATTCGTGCCCATAGTAGAAGCTTGCACTATTAAGCTTAAGTAAATCAATGGATGAATGTTAGTATTAATATGTGTCGTCATATTTATACAGCGTTAGTGGATGGAAATGTGGGGACTCAAAAAAAAAGATTGGGGATGACCTTCAAAAAGGACATGTTAAGAGTACCAAGAATGAACGAGTTTGTACGAACAGACTGACGTGAGTGGAAAAGACAAAAGTGGTTTATTATAAGCGTAACGCGTACACATTCATTGTTTCTGCATAACCAAGTCGGAGACAAGCGTGATTGTGTGTATGAATCATGTACATACACATATCACATATCACATTTATAGGTTCAATGTGTAGTAAGTTGTCTAAATATTCTCTTTATAAGTCCCTTAAGGGTTGATAGAGTTTGCTAACATTGTGATCGTAGTCATACTTCTTGTTACATACCATTAGAAAGCAGTAGAAGGTTACACTAAGCTAACCGCAATATTAAGACGTTGTTTAAATAATTAGTACTAAGTACAATGGTTAACAATCAAGGAGTATGGTAATTAGCATGAGTGTCCCTCAAGGTTCAATTGTAGATCCATTTTTATTTTTAGTTTATATTACCTAATGACTCACAATGACACAAAACTTTATACAAAAGGATACAGCTTTCACGTTGTTGGATAATAAAAATTAGAAATGAAACGGATAGTGATTAGGCCGGATACCGGAAAGCCGGAAATCCCGATATTTGATCCACTGCCGAAAACATGTAGCGACCGATTTACGGCGCGCATCATTGTGATTTGATTGATTAGAAAATGATTGCTCTTTCACATTGACGTTTTAATTTGTTGTGATCACTTGGTTTTTATAAAAAAGATTAATTTATTCGATAATATAAAGAAATAAATTAATACATAACAGAAAAATGTTAACAGTGAAAATAATCGCAAATTTGGCACATGCATATTTCGCGCGGTAGAGAAAGAAAAAAGCAATTACATCATCCTTTGGCTATATTAAAATTTTTAGTTTTTATAATCATAAACCTAACACATAAGTACCTAAACTTTTTGGCTCACTGCCCACTTAGGAAAGATAACAAAATTTCAACGCCCACCGCCACAAATTTAAATTCAAATTGTTATTTGTCAAACATTGGGCTTGTATGATTTGTTTGAAAAAAGGACATGTCGCTAAAGCTTGCAGGAAGTATCCGAAGATTGCAGGTTCGGGTCCTGACACGGTCGTCACAAGTTGTAGATACTAAACTGAAAGGCAACATTTATAATCTACATTTTCTCGAATGGGTCAAATAAAACTACGTTTTTCCACTCATGGACAATTTATTTTTCATCTACATCTGTCAAAAATTATAATATTACAACAATTAACATAACACGAAAAGTCAAAGGGAAAAAAGTAATGAAGTTTATATAGATAATTCAGACTTTTATTTTCAAATGCTGTAGTACCACCTGGACAGCATTAACGCCCCCAATTGCTTCCGAGGCCCTAACACGCTTTGGGAAACTATGGCCTAGCACTTAATACGCCCGTAGTTATTTTGTTTCAATTTCATATGGTGTAAGAGGTAACATACATAAAATGATAAAATCATATTTAACAGGAAGGACTCAGTTGACCAAATTTAGTAGAATCAACATTCAAACAAGGACGGAAATGGAATATGACTCTGATACTAAAGTAACACTATATGGAGTACCGCAAGGTAGTATTTTGGGACCATTGCTCTTCCTAATATATATTAATGACATGCCTAAAGCATCCCATCAGTCAATGGTGCTCTATGCGGACGATTGTACAATGACATATATTAAAGAAAACGAAATAAATACAAGTTTAAATTCATTAATAGAATGGCTTTTACTATCTTCAGATAATAATTTAAAAATCAATTTAGAAAAAACAAAACTCATGAATTTTAGGTTGAGAAAAATAGCTAGTAAGATAAACGTAGAGTACAAAGGGATACAGATCGGAGACACAAATATAACAAAGTTCCTAGGTATACAGATTGATAACAAAATTAACAGGAAAGCGCAATTAGAGAGTATTTGCACTAAACTCAATACTTATTAATATACATTATATATGCTTAGCAAAGTTGTAGGTAGAGACTCGTTCCTTCATGGTTATGTTGCGTCCATATTACGATACGGTATAATATTCTGGGGCAACGCAACTAATGTGAACTCAGTTCTTAAGGCACAAAAAAGATGTGTCAGAGCAATTTGTCGATTGAAGAGAACAGATAGCTGCAAACCATGTTTTAAAGATCTTCGACTACTGACTGTTCCTTCACTTTATATCTACGAAACTGCCGTGTATGTCCGAATGCACTCACACTTGTTCACACGAACTCTGAAGCCAAAACAGTACGACCAAGTTCGTTTGAAAGCCTGTAAAACTACCTTCATGTAGAAAAGTATTTTTGTAATGGCTCCAAAAATTTACAACATCTTACCGGAAGCACTAAGGTCTGAGAAAAACCTTATGCTATTTAAAAAACAATTAAACAAGTTACTGACTAATAAAATGTACTATACAGTGTCTGA